TAACTACACAGCCCAATGACATGTTCAGAGTATTGGTAGGAACGCCGTCGGCGGTGTGATGGTTTTGGTGGATAAGCTGCCGCTGGAAATGGAGAAGCAGAGAGTCAGATTCTGCCGGAAATGTAGAGGATGATCTATTAGACTGAGGGGGCCGGAGGAAGAAGCGGCGAAGGAAGAATTGTTTTGATGGAGGGTGGCGGAGGGAGAAGGTGCGAAGGTGGGTGCCGGAAGGAGTAGCGGCGAAGGGGGTTGTTAAAAATGTTGAGTACGACGGAAGGCAAGACAGGGTCATTTTTTTTGCGTTTGGGATTTTTTCTTTTCTTTTTTTTTTGCGTTTGGGGGTTTTTTTTTTGTAATAATTCAGTACATTACGGATTGTAAATTATTTGGATGGTTTAAATGTGTAATTTGACAATTTTAACCCTAATAAGTCGCTGACATCATATCAACCCAATCCGACGGATGAGATCGATTTGACGGTGGTCCTTGAATATTTTTTGAGCATTATTTTTTGGCTACTGTGCCTTTTATTTAAGTATAAGGATCAACGGAACCGTAGATTTGCTCTTGTATTTATTATATTCCATTGAACTTAATTTTCTAATTTTTTGATTGATTAATCGAGTGCACATCATGTGTCCGGAAAATAAACTTTTTTAATACTATAAGATTAATGTAGGTGCTGAAATTAATATGATAACCTTCTAGATAGAAACTGTTTGTGCGATTCTGTATTCAAATTAATCAGTTTCAAATTAAAATTGGAAAGACAAAAGAGGCTGACCAAATGATCTGGAGAATGTGCTTCCAAGTATGCCAATGTTATCATCTGATCACTCCTTAATTGCGGGGGTCGATTTCAGTTTTGTGCCCACTATGCAAATGTTAACATCCGCAAATTAACCTAGTTTATAACAGCACTGATTCATTCATCAAAGGAAAATAATTTGTGAATTATATACCATTTGCAAATTATAATGTAATTATGTTTGTGGAAAAGAAATATTATTTAAGTGATTAACAGTAACGAAAATTACTTATGCTTATGGTACTAGGAACTAAATTATTATTTTTTAACACGTTACGCACTAGTTATGCTTTTGAACTTCCCATGTACTACCTCTTAATCAATTCGGAGTCAACCCAAGTCTTTTTCACAGCAAGAATGTCTCCAAATCCAGCACTTTCCCCATCTCGCTGTCCATTTTATTTTCCTTGGTACTTTATTTTTCTTTTAATTGTTGCTCATAATGCCAATGATGATTTTCGATAGAATTGGATCGGATCAGAGTGAATCGGAGAGAGATGAGATTTGCACTCATAGTTGTGCGTGTGCGTGTGCAAAGAGATAGAAAAAAGAGAGCGCAAAAAAGTGGGAAATTATTTGAAAGGGGGAGAAAAAGAGTCATTGGGTATGAGAGTATAAAAAATGAAAAATACGAGATTAACATGAATCCGATTTCACTGGAAATGTTATCCGTCGATTTTTTCCGTCTGCTTTACAAAGTCAACAAAAGCCGACGGACGCTCATCTTTTTTCTTTTTTCTTTTTCCCTGGTAAATGATAAATGTCATTTCATCTTCATTTATAATCGACCTTACAGTACTTTACATCCGAGTTCACAGCTGTGCATATTCTGACAGGCAAAACTACTCATTTACATGAATCAATATTCTCTCCTAAGTTGAAAGATTAATAGTCCCAACTCCTTCAGCTCTAAAGAGTTTCTTTGAGATAAAATAAACTGTCATTAACTTTGATAGAAAACGTTCAACCATGATTGATAGAGGATTACAATCACTAACATATTACAATAGATTAAAATTCTAAAATTAGGAATCAACCGATCTTCACTGCAGATGATCAAGTTACAAACTCTTCCATAGTATCCGCAAATACTTATTGAAAGTATCACGTACTAAAGAATAACTTCGATCTCGAATACTTCACTTATCATCAGATGAAGGCCCAAAAAAGTAGATCTAAATCATAGATCTACTTTGACTGCAAACCCTCGAACATAAACCATGACTATGAACCATGACATGCTCCACCTTATTCTTCTGACAAACCACACAACTCTTGAATAATTCTTCTACCTCAGTCTTCATTTGAGGCCAGTAAAAGATGCTTTTCAACCTCTGCCAAGTAGCATTCTGCCCTGAGTGACCCCCCCAAAGGAGAAGAATGAAAAGCTTCCAGCAAAGAATTCCTGATATCATAATGACTCCCCACATAAATCTTGCCATTCCTTCTCAGAATACCTTGAATGTACCGATATTCAGGCTGATGTTGAGGATCCAATGCTATTCCAGCAATCATATCAATGGCAAACTGATCATGTTCATAACTCCCAATGACTTCTTGCATCCAAATTGGTTGTATAGAAGTCATAGCACATAGGAATCCTTGATCAACAGTTGCACCATCTTCATGATTTCTTCTAGATAAAGCATCAGCAGCCTTATTCTCGACTCCCTTCTTGTACTGAATCTCATAATCATAACCCATCAACTTAGTGAGCCATTTCAGCTGATTAGAGTTGTTGACAACCTTCTGTTCCAGCAAGTATCTCAGTGACTGATGATATGTTCTTATAGTGAAACGGTTCCCCAGCAGATAATGCCTCCACTTAGTAACAAGGCCATTAACTCCTTTTCATACACTGAAAATCCTTTGCTCCTCTGAGTGAAAGCTTTGCTCAAATAAGCTATAGGCTGTCCACCCTGCATAAGAACTGGCCCCATTCCAGTGTCACAACCATCCGTTTCCACTATAAAAGCTTGAGAAAAATATGGCAATCTCAAAACTGGATAACATGTCACGCACTGTTTCAGAGTCTGAAAAGCTGTTTGAGCTTGTTGGTTCCAGTCAAAAGCAAGCTTCTTCAATAAGTTGGTCAATGGCTTACATATATGCCAACCTCCTATAGTAACCAGTAAGCCCCAAGAATCCTCTCAATTCCTTGACATTAACAGGTACAGGCCACTCTTGAATACACTTCACCTTCTGAATATCCATGCTAAACCCCCTGAAAAGAAATGGTATGTCCCAAGTAGTCAATAGAACTCTTAGCAAATTCACATTTGCTTCTCTTTGCATACAACTGGTTTTCCTACAAGATCTATAAAACCTGCTCCAAATGCTTAACATGATCTTCAAGATTCTTGCTGTAAATCAGAATGTCATCAAAGAATACCAAAACAAACTTCCTTAGAAATTGCTGGAAAATTTGATTCATCGAAGACTGAAATGTGGCAGGAGCATTAGTGAATCCAAATGGCATAACCAGGAACTCATAATGTCCATTATGGGTTTGAAAAGTAGTCTTGTAAACATCTTCTTTATTTACCAAAATTTGATGGTAACTTGACCTCAAATCCAGCTTAGAGAACACAGAAGCCCCATTCAATTCATCTAACAACTCCTCTATAATGGGAATTGGGAACTTGTCTTTGATAGTTCATTCAGCCTTCTATAGTCAACACACATCCTCCAACTACCATCTTTCTTCTTGACTAGAATCACTAGTGATGCATATGGACTTTTATTGGCTTGCACAATCCCTTGCTCCAATAATTCAGCTACTTGCCTCTCAATCTCTGCTTTATGTGCATGGGTGTAAGGAGGGATTTTGAAAGGTTGTGACCAAAATTTGAGTGATATTATGATGATCCACATTTCTGCTAGGAGGAAGATTCTTAGGATTTGCAAAGACTTGATAGTATTTGTCCAACAGCTTGCTAATCTTCTCAGGTAATGGAATTTCCACCATAGAAGTTTCCTGAGTATCCAAGAAATTAAGATGCATGGAAAACAATATTCCTTTCCTCTCCCTATGTAGTTGTTGACTCTCCTTATCCCTGACTAGTCTCATACTTGCCACACTTCCACTGCTTTGCAAGATGTAGTGTCTGCCATATTTACTGAGTCTAACATGCATATCATCAAAGTCAAAAGTAATGGGGCTAAAATGCTTCATCCAATTAACACCCAAGGTCATGTCATAGCCTCCAAGTTTCATAATCTTCAAGTCATAACTAAACTTGTACTCATTAATATTCCAATGTAGTTTAGGACATACCAAATTTCCAGACACCTTGTTACCATTTCCCACAGTTATGGTGTACATATTCCCCTCAGTACAGTGCAGTTTAAGTTCCTGAACCAATGCCACATCAACAAAGCTATCTGTGCTCCCGGTGTCAATTAAGATTTTGATCACCCTTCTATCAATTTTTTTTCCAAAATCACAATGGTCTATTTGACATTATCAACCGATAGAACATGCAGAGATCCTTCTTCTATAGTTAAATCATTCAAATCAATCCCTTCATCAAGATTAAACTCCGGTACATTCAATGACTCTGATTCTTTTTCCATAGCATCATCATCCTCAATAACTATCATTATATTGAATTGTCTATACTTGTAAATATGGCCCGGACCAAACTTCTCACCACATTTAAAACACAGATGGTTATTCATTCTATATTGATACTCCTCCGGACTTAACTTCTTCAAAAAATCAGGATTAATAGGTTTATTTGACTTATCAGCAGTTCTTGGAACACTAGTAATTCTATGAACAACAGGAGGGTTTTTGTTTACCTGTTGGTGAGGATTTCTCTGCTTCTTCCACAAGATTTCTAGCTATTGCTCCTGTAGGTGAGCAATCTTGTACAAAGAAGCCAAGGTAACAGGTTCAAACATCTCACAGCAGCCATAAGTTCTTCCTTTAAACCGCTGATGAAACTGGAGATGAAATAGCTTTCCGATAGCCTAGGATCTTGCATCAACATTCTGCACGCAATTCCTCAAATTTGTTCTGGTAATCCTTGTCTATTCCCGTCTGAGAAAGCTTGTTGAATTCCTCTATCGGGTCCAATTCCTCCAAGACAGTGAATCTTTTCAATAATTCCGTCTGGAATTTCCCCCAAGAAGGTTGAGGATTTGTCAATTTGAAAGATCTAAACCAAGAATCCGCCAAATCTTCCATTTAAAGTTCGACATAATCCAGCTTTTGGTCATCTGCTAATTGATGAAGAAGAAAGAACTTTTCACACTTCTTGATCCAGTCTCTCGCCTTGTCTCTAGTAAACACGGACAACTTGATTCTTGGTTGAGTGTACCACGGCAACTTCTTCTCCTTCTGATTATTTGTTACTTTCGCCATTGCCGGAGAATCGACGACCGTTTCTATCACTGGAACTGCCGCCGGAGCTTTAGATTTGTCAGTGGGTGAAACCCCCATGATTCCTTCTTTTCCGTGGAAAGATGTCATAAACTCCTTGAATTGAGCGTTCATTTGAAGCATCGAGCCCTGAATTGCAACAATTGAGCACATCATTTCATTCATCTGTTGACTGTGATCGGAAAACTTCGATTCCATGTCGGAGATTCTTGATTCTACATCCAATCGTCCCGCCGACATTTCACCGGAGCGTCTTCGTTCTTCCAAATCCTTCTTGGAACGTGTTTGCGTCATCATTAGGGTTCTTGAGCTGAGGATTGACTAGCTCTAGAAACCAAATTGTTAGCCACCTGAACTTTTCCGACGAGTTCGCCGTCACCGGAATTTAAAAGAATCAAGAATTGAAGAGAGGAGAGAGAAAATGGAAGTTTCCAGAGAGAGAGAAAGAAGAAACTGATTTTTATTTCATTAATTCGATACTGGAACCCTTATTACATTTCAGTATTAATAAGGAAATCAGCAATTATGACTCTATTCATTGACTACAATCATTTACTTAATCATTTACTAAATCTATTTTTCAGCCGTCATTCAATTGAGTCCACAAACATGCTGAAATTTCAATCTAGTCCTTGATATGTGACCGACAGAGTGCTTCGAATAGAGAAATCCCTCGGTTGTGTTTTTCTTGCAGTAGGATAAGGCCCAACCGTCCATTGCAAATCCCACATTGGTGAACGAATCACAATTTTATTTATATATAAGATTGAACTTTGGATCATTGTTTGCCGAGCTCAGTTACGTGGTGAGGGCATGAAAGTGATTGGACTTGCCCATTAGTTGGGCTGTACGATTCCCTTCTTTCTTATCTAAGCGCGCAAATGCTTCTCCGTAGATAATGCCTACGGAAGGCTGGGGTTGCTGCCGCCCGGAAGGCTGAGCCCATTACTATTGCCACCACATAGTTTACCATATTTGTTTTAACTAAAGTGGTTGTGGTGGAGTGGAAGGGACTACTCCACCCTTAACCATAGGTCGAGCGTTTAAACTTCGCCATGGACATGCAGCAACCTTAAATACTTTGACCAATTGTCCTCCCCATTAAAGTGCCTACAATTCAGCGAGGAGAATTAGTCACTGTTGTTGACAGTGAACACCCTAAAATATGAAAAAAAAATTACCATATTTGTTTTCAATCTTGATTTATGATCATCCATGTTTAAATTTCGTTTTATTGCTGGTTGTATTACTCGAATCACATTAAATTTTTACCCATATTATTACATAGTAGTCAAATAAAGTGTTGTAATACAGAGATTTTATTTTTCAAAAAGAAAAGAGAATTACAATGTTTTTTTTTGGTACAATGAATGAGACAAAAGGCTAATGACTAAATAAGTACATTTCGGGGATAAGTCTAGTGACTGCAATCTTATGCATACAATACTCTCTATTAATTCCAGTCTAAACTATGTTAGCTCTGGTTTTCAATACTTTTTTGTCGAACAAGTGTTTGCTTTCCTCAAAGATCATGTTAGCTCTAAAATATGTTAGCTCTGGTTTTCAATACTTTTTTTGTTCTTGTTGAAGGAAACACATTACACATGCAATCAGATATTCTTCCAAATTAATTAATCATTTCATTGGTGTGCATAAACCTCATTCCCTGATCCAAATTAATTAGAAGTGTGGTTTCTCTTTCTTTGTTTGGCAGCCACCATGCACCGGTTAGATGCTTCGCCACGGCTCATCGACTGGTTTCAATGGCAATTGGTCGCTTTCACCGTAGAAGAAGCGAAGTCATCGGAAATATATTCTTTGAAACTCATAACGCGTCGGCATACATGTCAACTTAGGAAAACCGACGATAAATTGGACAAAGCATAAAATTTATTATTTTATATCACTTTCAAAAAATTACGAAAGTATTATTGTTTGATAGTTGATCTATTGCAACTCTATTGTCAAGATTTCAAAAATTTAAAGACTTATTTCATAAATACTAAGTTTTACTGTAGATAGCCAAAAAACTATCTAATCAAGCATTTATATTCATTCAAGTGACAAAACGATCAACGAATTTACTATTACGTAATATAGTAAATTTAAGTTTTCACTTTTTTCATGATTGATTAAAAAAGGTGAGTTGATCGGAAAAATATATTGCACTCCTCAAATATTGATATTGCCTTACTCCAAATTTCCATCGTCCGGTTATGTTTATTGGAAGCAAAAAAAAAAAAAAACACATTTTCTTCAGTTTAGTGGAGCAAAATTACTTCTGAAACAAAATTAAGCGGATGCTCTAGGCAATTCTATGAAACCTTCAAGCGTTTTCTTCCCGCCGGACACCTTTAACCCGCGGAAAACGCGAGCCTGATACAACCCATTAACACCGTTTTCCTTACGCGCCTCAATAAGTAGGATGAAATTCGTGCCATCCACGACCTGTTGTTCCGCCCTAAAAACCGCCACGAACTGGAGTTTGGTGTTGGCTATTCTGTTGTGTTCCTGGATCGCGAATTCCCCGGCATCGACGACTCCTGGATCCTTTGGATTTGCTTTCTGAAATCCGCCGGCGATTTGTGGATTGTTCGGAGATGGTGACATTCTGGCTACCACTACGGCTACCATCATACCCAGTAGAAGCAGGGAATATTGAGATCCGAATTGAGCCATTTCTTTTCAGCTGGGAGTTGTACTAATTCTGTTGTTAGTTGGAAGTATATGTGGTCACTGAAATGTTCAGTTATTTGCATTTTGAGTTTCATGCATGCGTGGGGTGTATATATTTGAATGGAAAAGTTTCCTATCTAATCTTTGCATTTATTGGAAATTAATACCTCGAAGATGGATCAGTTCATTAATGTTGTCTAAACTACTTAGAGTTTAAATGTATGTAATGTTGATAGAGATGTTGGTTTCTTGATGCATGGTTTTACTGTTTCAGCTACACTCTTCTAACAGAGTCATCATACATCAAATGAATTTGGAGCAGCGATATTGGAAGATAGAAAAAATATTTCGTTTTTTTTTTTTTTTTGTTGTTTTTTTGGCTCACTTTGATAGTTGTTAATGTAGTGTTTCAATTTAACAAAATACATTATTTTTTTTTTTCTGTCAAACAGTAATTGGATTCTCAAAATCATACAGCAATAAAAGGTGCTTACGATTAGTCCTTAAATCCGTAAGATTTGTACTCGTTGACGACCACAGCTGGCTAGAGTAATTCCTATTTCATTAGTCGTTAATTATTTTGAGAACAAATCTCCTCCAATAACTAGTTGTCTACGAAAATATTCAATAACTCAAGATATGTTTAAGAACCGATAATATAATCGGGTCTTCAGAGTCATGTGGTAAGTCTGACGAATTCCATATCGAGGGATTGAAAAAAATACGAGTCAATTAATAAGTAAAATGTTCTCAAAATCTATCATCTTGGGATTTTCTTTTCCAGAACAATCTCTAAACACTATACGTAGTGTTCTTGCCACTGCACTCTGCTGTAGATTTCATTACAATGAAAAATGTCGTATTAGCAAAAAGAAAACGATAAAATTAATATTACAAATAGAACATGTATATACAGAACTATGAGCATCGATCACTCATCAGAAAGCCAGAAAACCAAAGTTGAATTCGTGTTCTGCGAAAAAAGTTATAATCACTGGAAAGCAAATTGAAGTTAAACTAGAAAGTGGAAACATTTAGTCCAGCGCCAACTCCGCTCCGTGACTGTTCATGATGAATTTAAGGCATCATTTGTACTCTCTTGCGTCACATAAAACAATCCCACTCTCTTTTCTAATGAAACACATAAAAAGGGGTTATATATTAGTATTACGAATAACAAAATGGACTTCACAAGTGACTCACAAACCACACGATGAGATGCATGATGAGCTGATTACGACTGTCGACTAGTTAACTGCTACTCACTCAATATGATCGATTTTTTTTCTTTTTACCATATATACACTGGAAACAGAAAATAAAAGTTAAGTTTATCATCTTTTTTATTTCAGCCGCTCGGGAGTTCATTTGTTTACCTAGTATGGTTAAATGTGATTACCCTGTAGTGCAAAAATTGATCTACTTTTACCGGCGGCTGGCGATTTCTTTGGTGGGAGATAGATTTTGTTACAGCCAAGGTCGACTTTCACAATTATTGTTTTTTATTCAATTTTCTATTGGGGGAGAAATGCATGCGAGAATTATTCAACAATAACTCGGACTGTGCAACTATAATAAATCAAGTTGCAAAGAAGTATTTTAAGGGTTATTAGATGATTCATCGAAAGGTTAGCGTACATAACATTTTTAACGGTTAGACTCAATTCTAATGTCCTAAGAACTCCATCAAATTAATCAAAGATGAATATAGCGGCAAGGGAGGCAACGGCGGAGGAGGGTCCGCAAGCAACAACAAGCAGGGCGGTAATGACGCCACCATGAAGGCTCCAGGGATTGGCGGAGCAATTCATCAATAGGGGAAGCTCGAGAATATCCCAAAGGCTACGTCTGGCCTCATGCTAATCAGAGGGGTGAGTGGTGGTAAGGGAAAATGAAGAACTAAACGAGTATTTTTTAAAATTTTTTATTTTTATTTTTTCCTCTGGTTTTGTTTTACTCTTGGAGTTATACTAGTGTAGCGGCCAGAAACTAATTAATATGGATTATGACCTTTCTAGAAACAAATTAGATGAGAAGCCAGCTAAACCGTGAGGTTCTTTGTCGAATCAATCGATTTCAAAGGAAAACACTAAGAAGGAAGTATCCTTAGGAGACTGAAAAAGTGTTCTGAGAATGTGCTCCAAATAACTCATTCAACTACATCGAATTTTTTATTTTTTCAACGACATCGAAGGTATCTCATCTTGTCACCCGTTAATTGCGTCGATCAGAAATTTCACATTTGCTAATTTCCATCCCGCTTGTACAAGCTACTTCAAAATTCAGGGCTAAGGATCTCCTAACCCTCTTTCATACACCATTCCCTACAATGCTACACCAATAAGTAACAAGTGTCAATTTCCTACACCAATCCTCAACGGCAATCCTAGCATATTTTTCTCTTTTGATTACAAGACTATAAAAATATGCCTTCATGAATCTCCCAATTCCTTTCACGATATTTTTCAGTATATCCTTATGAAAGTTATTCAAAGCTAGAGCCGAAATTCGAATCCATGTTACCACCGCCGAAAGGTTCTCTTGCTCGGCATTGAAGTTCCCAATCCATGGAAATACACTGAGATAGGTCCTTCCAATTGTCCATGGGCCGTTAAGGAGTGTTGTATGATAATCGTCTTCATCAGCTAATCTTATTAAATGATGAGCGCCTATTGTGTCGATGAGATCTAAATCACCCTTTTGGTTGTCAGATCTTCTTCAGGCGCTTGCGGAGAGCCACAAATCCCACTATTCCTCCCAATGAACTATTAATTACTGTATAACCCATTGATTTTTTCATTTTCTCTTGAATCGGATTATGAAATTTGACAGACGGTACCCCCATTCTCAGTGCCATAGATGACTTCATCCTCTCTGACTTGGATTGGTTCTCTCACCGGAAATTGAGTTTTTTGGTTGAGTACTGCTGCTTCGAAAGAGAAATTCCAGGTTGACCAAGTAATATTTTCTCTCTGTTTTTGACTTTTTTTAGTTAGTGGTTGGATTATCATTGATCGGTTACGGCTGCCCGGAGTCATTCATCTCCGTCTCCATTCCTCTATGTTTTTCGTTCCCTGGTTCGAAGTGTGAAAACTTAAATTCCAATATAAAATTGAAATTAGAATTAGCGTTTGCCGAGCCTAATTACATGGGCTTATCACCTAAATGGGTTGGATTTAACCTATTAATTTGGTTGTGCATATGTCACGCCCAACCCGTTTTCTAGTTGGGTTATTGAATAAAATTGGGAAGGGCTCCGAGAACGGTGTTGTTTGTATGACTTTGGGGGCTAAAATCAGAAAACAGCATTAAATGCGGCCATGCATGCAGATTGAGGGGTCAATTACGCAAATAGTTGAATCTTTGTTTAAACCATTATAAATAGCAATTTGATGTAATTCTAGAATGTTCATATAACAATTACCATTTGATTTGTGTGAACTTGGCTCTAAGTCATTTTTCCTTTTGTTCTGATTAACTGAATTCTTGGCCGGAATCACGTTGTTCCGACGCTGGACCTCACATTTGGTTATCAGAACTTAACGATTCTCAGCTGTAATCGGAAATGGCGCCATCTCGCGTCACGACGGTGGTAGCAGAGGAGCAGATTGCTTCGCTGAAAGCTGAGTTTGAAGCTCACGTAGCTCAGCCGAATGCAGCTGTGGGTCGATTGGAAGCTAGTGTAGCTAAAATCAATTCAGATTTACCTGAGAGCATAACAAAGTTGAGTGCGGAGTTGCCGTTGAAGCTGATGTTGATGTTCGAGGTTAAGTTCGTGGAATTAAGTGCAAGAATTTCAGAAGCAGAGCCTAAGCAAGGAGAAGTGAAAGGTTCTGCAAGTGGCAAGGGTAAGTATTCTGTTTCTAATTTGGTTGCTTCTGTTTCTGGTGTTAAGAATGGTAAAAGAGAGGGGAACCGTGGTGCTGTTATACCGAATCTTAATCAGAAAACAATAGTTGATCTGAACTTAGATGAGGATGAATTGGAGGAAAATAGATCGATAAATAGAAATTGGAAGCCTAGACCTAAACTTGAACTGTCAGTGTTTGAAGGAGAGAATCCTAAGGCTTGGCTAAAGAAGTGCCACAAATATTTTCATCTGTATAAATTGCATAAGGAGAAAAGCTAGATACGGTGGAATTTTACTTAGATGGGAAGGCAGATTTGTGCTTCCAAGGATTTAAGAAGGTTTTTCCTCAAGCAGATTAGGGTATATTTGAGGTTGAATTGTTGAAAAGATTCAGAGATTCTGATGCTTTGAATCAATTTGAGGAGTTTAATAAGCTGTCACAGATTCGAACAATTAAAGATCATCATGATAAGTTTGAGGAATTGAAATCTTCGGTGCTTTGTTTAGACCCTCATTTGAGTGAATCCTATTTTGTGTCAAGTTTCATTAGTAGTTTGAAGGAGGAATTCAAACCTTTTGTGAGGTTTACGGAACCACAGATAGTGCAAGGGCTTTTGAGGCTGCAAAAGCATAGGAACAAACCTTGACTTTGTCTTCCAAACCAAAAGTGGTATCGACAGCTGCGGGAAGGACCTATAATTAAGGAGGAAAGGCGTCAGCTCAAGCAGATAAGAGGACTGGAAATGAGTTGTTTAAAACGCTGTCCCCTGCTGAAAGACAATACAGGAAGGCTAACCATCTTTGCTAGAAATACAATACCTGGTCATGTGTGTAAAATGGAACATATCAACTGGATAATTGTGAATGATGATGTAGAATTGGACCAAGTTAAGTGGCTGAGTGATGAACTGGAAGAAGGTGGAATTGGAGATGTCTACAATTCAGTTACAAGCCATTTCTTGTAGGGATGAATGTTGGTCTATGGAAGAAGAAGAAGAAGATGAACCCAGGAAACTCATCATCATTATTGGGGAGATTAATGGTGAAATGGCGGGAATCTTAGTGGATACCGGAGCTGTCAGAACCTTCATTGATAATCAGTTGGCTATTAAATTGGGAATAAACAGGAAGGTGGTTAAACCATACTACATTAAAGTTGCTGATGGTCATAGGATAAAAAACAATGTCATATGTCTAGTTACTAAATGGACCATTCAAAAGCAC